CTATTTCTTTTTTTCAATATAGCTATACTACAAACTTTTAAATTATATATATAGTTCACATTATGTTTCCATTGGACAATGCTGTCCTAGAGCCGTGCTTAAAATCAGGTTAAATATTTTTGGCAAGAATACTTCATAGCTGATCTTATGTTCATCACTATATTGTATCACAGTGAGACACATTTGTTTGTCCCATCATTAATGACTAGAGGCCCGATGCATGAAATTCATGCAAGGGCCTTGGCCTTGGCCTCGGCCCCCGGCCCCCAGCTGTGACTGGGGGCCTCTACTGTGGCCCCCACCCGTTGCCACTGCAGTCAGGGGCCCCTGTCATCCCTGCCTCAGCCCCTGCCCACTGCGGCTTTGTCCAGAAGGAAGGACGTCTGGAAGGACATCCAGTCTAATTAGCATATTACCCTTTTATTATTACAGATACTAAGTTTGATAACTTGATTAAGGGATGAATGACAAGTACGTGTTTCCATTGGAAAGGCACATTTCCCCCTTCATAATCTGTAAGCTGTTATGAGACTATCAGTTTCCTATTGACTTTTCACTTTATGCTTCCCACATCCTTTGGGGATCATTGCTTGAATCAGTTACCTCACTAGGGATTGCAAAATGATGCTTAATATTAAAAATGTTTTTAATTTAACTGGCATTCTTTTCTTTTCTTCCTTAAAATTTTTTTTTTTAGTATCACAATGGACACATCAAATTTTTATTTACTCAGTGTGTTACAATCAAGCACAGTAATTCTTTCTGATACTCAAAACTCCCTAAATTTGCTTACTGGGACTCCCAAATCGTTTTATCATAACTCCATTAATTTTTTAGTGTTTCCTTGCCTTTTGGTACAAAAAGTCCCAGGTCCATCTTGTACTTGCCCTGTCCCAGAAGTTGAATCAGCCATTTCTTAAGAAGCCTCCATTGCTTTTTAGTAAGATACTAGAGGCCCGGTGCACGGATTCGTGTACTGGTGGAGTCCCTCGGCATGGCTGCAGCGATCAGGCCAAAACCAGCAGTTCAACACCACCTGCTGCTCCTGCCTGCTGCTCCCACTCATCCCAGTCCCACTGCTCCTGCTGCGGGCACATGCCCAGTCAGTCCTGACCAGAAGAGGCTCACGCCAGCAGCCGTGAGCCCTGCGTCTGGCACCCGTAGGCCAGCTGAGCGGCGCTCCCACTGTGGGAGTGCACTGACCACCAGGGGGCAGCTCTTGAATTGAGCATTTGCCCCCCTGGTGGTCAGTGCTTGTCATAGCAACTGGTAGACCAGTCATTCGGTCGTTCGGTCATTTAGGCTTTTATATTTATAGATGGTATTCCCAAACCAAGATAACATTGGTAGACATGGTCAAAGTTAGTAGGGTGACACTGCTTTTGGCCCTTTCAGTAAACAGAGCTAGAAAATATAATTTAAGAAATCACAAGCTCATATTGATATTTCCAATTCAAGTTTAATATTGTAGGAGTTTTTCTTAACTTCTTTTATTTTAGGTCTGTATTTCTTTTCCATGTACATTAAAACCATCATTTGATGAAACATGGATACGTTTTCTTTTTGCTTTATCCTATAATACATAATTTCAAAGTTACTGTAACAATATTACAACTTACAGTAACCATACTGTGTGGTGAGTTTAAGATTTCTTTGTAGACCTTTTGACCTCAGAATATCATCTACTAATATATAGTCCAAGTAAGTTAAAATATTTATTCAAAGTATTCAAAAGTAACTTGAAGTAATTATTTTCCCTGAGAGGTTATGTTATACATTTGATAGACAGTTTCATTTATTTCTGTTTGTGTCCCATTTCAGGTTTTACTTTCTGTTTCTTTATTTTTGAATATGTAAGACATTTACATGGTTCAGTAGTCAAAACCATTACAGAAGGTTAAATTCAGAGATTTTGTGCCATCCCTATCTCTGTACCCTGTTTCCATCCTATTTGTAGGTAACTATTTTCATTAATTTCTGGTGTATCGTTCCTGTATTTCTTCCCCCCTCCCCCAACACAAAAATAACACACACATAAATAAAACCACATGCATTGTTTATGCCCTGCTCTTTCTTGTTTAACATGTTTTGGAAAACACTCCCTATCATAGAGATCATAGAGATCTTCCTCCTTCTTCCTTTTCTTAAATTGCTGAAGAATGCTCCACTGTGGGGATGTACTCTAGTTTATCAACAAGTCTCTTATTGGTGCACATTTCTGCTGTTTCCCATCATTTGCTACCACCAAATTACATAGTGAATAAACTTATGTCTGTGTTGTTTGGTGTTTGTGGAAATGCAGCTTCAGGGTAGATGCAAGAATCTAATTTTTAGAAACATCCCAAGTGATTTCATGCACAGCCAGGCTTGAGTACTGTTGCTTACTGTGTATCGGAAAAATGGTATCCAGGAACCCATTCAAATAGTAGCTGCATGATTTTCAAATAGTAGCCAGAACTGTTAACTTTTTCTTAAAAAATAAGGGATGGAGTCCTGGCTGGTGTGGCTCAATTGGCTGAGCATTGTCCCATGCTCTAAAAGGTTGCTAGTTAGGTTCTGGTTGGCCACGTGCACAGGTGGCCGTCGATCCCTGGTGGGGGGCTGATCCATGTTTGCTCTCACATAGATGTTTCTCTTTCTCTTTCCCTCTCCCTTCCTCTCTAAAAATCAATAAAAATGTGTATTTTTAAAGAGGGATGGCACCCAGCTGGTGTGGCTCAGTGGTTGAGCATAGACCCATGAACCAGGAGGTTACAGTTCAATTCCCAATCAGGAAACATGCCTGGGTTGCAGGCTCAATCCCCATGGTGGGAGTGCAGGGGGAAGCCAATCAATGATTCTCTCTCATCATTGGTGTTTCTATCCCTCTCTCCCTCTCCTTTTCCTCTCTCTGAAATCAATAAAAACATATTTTTTAAAAAGAGGGAGGGGGAAGATGAGGAAACAATAGGTAAAGAAGCAAGGTTATCATCCTGAATCCTCCCCTACCATATCTAGTCGAATGCAATTGAGTTATATGAATGGAAGGTGAACTTCTGGAGTCGTGTCCCCAAATCAGCATGTTGGTAACAAGGCTACCCTATGTATATACACATAAGTGACCCAGATTTGAGCAGTGAACAACTCTCAGTTTGGATGTTTTGAACCTCGAGTAGCCCAGGGGCATCCAATATGGCATCTAATGGGCAGTGGTTTGCACAGGTTTGGAGCTCAGATTAGGAGTGTTTGCTGTAAACAAAGTCAGGTATTCTGTCACAAAAAGGATTAATTCAGGAGAAAAAAAAAAAAAAGGTTTGCAATCCAGTGTGTGCAGACATGGTGAGAGTGAAGCAAGAAGATCAAGAAGCAGCAGGAAGCCCCTTTTTGCTGAGGGGACTAGCAAGTTGAGGGGAGGGGCTGTTGCGCCCACAGAGCTCTGTTGTGAACACAGTTTTTCCTGCAGGGCTTTAGTGACTGACATGTGGTGTCAGAGCTCCTGCCACAGGCCCTCCTCCCGACTCTTGTGTAGGTTGAAGGTCTCATAAATTTTGACAGGTCATTAGCATGTAGGTGACAGAGTAGGTGAAAGATGATTGAAGGGAGGATTAGAGTGAGAAGTTGCTTAAGATGGAACCCTGGGGAACGGCAGTACTTAAGAGGCCAGTAGAGGAGCCCAATAAAGTACATATGGCCAGAGGGGCAGAAGGAAGACCGGAGAAGACAAATCATAAAAGCCCAGGAAGCTGAGTGTCACAAGAAGAAAACAGTTTTCAGTGTCAAATACTGGTGAGAGGTAAAGTCAGAAAAGGCTAAACGCTATCGGTTGGATGTAGCAACAAAGAGACCAGCTGTGTGACTTTTGACACAGCAGATTCAATGCTGTGGTGGAAACAGTAGCCTGAGAGTGTTAAGGAAGGAAGGCAACCTCCTTGAGATGAATCTTGGATCCACTGGTGTTTTGTCAGTTGCAGCAGAGATTTTTTTCTTCTGAAAGCCACAAAAGTGGACATTTGTACCCAAAGGGAGGAAAAATCAATTTTGGTATTTTCTCAAACCTTTGGTGCTGGCTGTTGTTTATATTAGAATCTAGCATAAGATGCTTTTGGATTTAGCAAACAGTGTATGCAGGGTTATTTTAGGTATACTATTAATAAAGTAATTTCATAATAAGTAGTACCCAAATAGTAATATAATGATATATTTTACCCTTACAGAGCACCATGATTTTCAAATAGTAGCCCCATTAAGTATGAGAATCATGGCACCAGAACAATTTTTAAAAACATTGTCGTTTCTCTTCTACTTTGTTGCCCCCATCTCCCTCTATACTCTGGGCTAAGAGTAGATGTTTGTTTGTTTGTTTGTTTGTTTTTGTTTTTTTTGCTTAAAGAAATTTGGGAGACCAGGGTGTACTCACCAAGAAAAAGATGAAAAGGGCTTCAAATGTTACCTAATACAGTACAGTGGTTTCCAGACCTGACAGAGCATCAAAATAAAGAACCTTAACTTGCCTTAAAAGACAGAACCCTGGGCCCCTGCCCTAGATCTAGATACAAGGGGTGGAATGGGGACTAGAGATCTGCACCTTGCATAACTGCTTTTGATGACAGAAATGCAACTCCTTAAGGAAACAGAGGCCCCAAACAGTCCCTAGTCTCAGATCGGAGATTCCCTGTTCCGTGCTCCTGAAGGGCATCTGGATTTTCGTTTTGGGGGTGGTGGGGAGGGCTTGCTTTTCCGGGCTCTCTAGGCTCACTAGACGTAGCCTTCCCCCGTGATTCAGTCTCCGAAGGAGCTGTCGTGGGCTAGCGGCCCAGCAGGTGCCACACATGCAGCTGTCCAGCGAGCTGGTTTCGATTTCGTCCTAACCCCTGGTTCCGTCCAGGCACTGACCCCCTCCGCCCCCGACCCGTGCACACCGCCCGGCCCGCGGTTTGGGGGCGGAGCTTCGTTGCAGCCCCGCCCCTCCGCGCTCGCACTGGCGTTCCCGGAAGTTGACGGTCTTGCAGCCGCGGGCCTGATTGGCTGATGAAGGCCGGGTGCCCAGGCCGGGTTTTCCCGGGTTGGGTTGAGTTTCGGAGAGTTGAGTTATGGCCTCTAGGAACAAGCAATTGCGCGAACTACAGGGACAGCTGCTCCCGTCCAAGGCCCTGGTGGAGGTGAACGAGGACTGCCTGGAGGAGGAGGACGATGACTGCCTGGCGGAGGAGGAGGACGAGCCGGTGTTTGTGGACGCCGAGGAGCTCTGCAGCGGGGGCCTCAAGGCCGGCAGCCTCCCCGGGTGCCTCCCCGGTGAGGAAGCGCGGGAGCCTGGGGGTGGCGTGGGCGACGCGGCCCTGTCCCGGGTATGGCGCCCCAGCGCTGTTCGCAGACTTCCTTGGGGACGGCCTAGCTGTTTTGTTTACTTAGGATAAAATTATGTTGATACTATAGTAGCAGTAACTTGAGCAAATACTATGTGTTAAGCTTGTGCTCTACATGTATTCTCTCTTGTAATGTTCACAACTCTTTGAAGTAGTGAATCGGGGGCTTTTAACTATTTCCGTATCCAGCCTGGAGTCAAATACGAGATTTTTTTCCTGCTGCTTAGAAAACACAGGCGCCCTGGCCGGTTTGCTCAGTGGATAGAGCATTGGTCTGTGGCAGTGGTTCTCAACCTGTGGGTCGCCTAAGACCATCGGAAAACACATATATAATTACATATTGTTTTTGTGATTAATCACTATGCTTGAATTACGTTCAATTTGTAACAATGAAATTGGGGGTCACCACAACATGAGGAACTGTATTAAAGGGTCTCGGCATTAGGAAGGTTGAGAACCACTGGCTGTATGGAAGGAAGGGTCCCCGGTTCAGTTCCGGTCAAGGGCAAATGCCCGGGTTGTGGGCTCCATCCCGAGTAGGGGGCGTGCAGGAGGCAGCCGATCAATGATTCTCATCATTGAAGTTTCTCTCTTCCTTCCTCTCTGAAATCAATAAAAATATATTTAAAAAATAGAAAACACAGGCACCGAAGAAACACCATCAAGGCATCATTGATTCATTAACCTTGTGTTAATACTATTGATATCAGTGTTTAGCGTGTGCAGTTTCCTATGTTATGAATTATCCTTGTGACAGCTGTTTATAATATTTTACTATTTAGACCAGTGCCATCCAGTGGAATTTTCTGTGATGATGGCATAGTTTTATATTTGCGCTGTCCAGTACAGTAGCCACTAGTCACATGTGTCTATTGAGAACTTGAAATGCAGCTAGTGCAACTAAGGACCTAAATTTTAAAATTAATTTAATTTAAATTTATTTATTTTTATTTCCTTATTTTTTAAAATAATTCTTTATTGTTGAAAGTATTACATGTCTCCATTTTTTCTCCATTGACCTCCTCCAGATCACCCCCGTCCCCCACCCCAGGCCTTCACCACCCTATTGTCTGTGCCCATGCATATGCATACAGGGTCTTTGGTTGATTACCTCCCAGCCACCCACTCTCCCCTGCCTTTCCTCCAAGATTCTGCACGCTGTTCCATGCTTCCATGTCTCTGGATCCACTCGATTCATCAGTTTATTTTGTTACTTGGATGCCACATAGGTGTGAAATCATGTGATACTTGTCTTTCTCTGACTGGCTTATTTAGCTTAGCATAATATTCTAGGTCCCTCCATGCTGCTTCACAGGGTAAGAGATTCTTCTTTTTTATTGCTGCATAGTATTCCATGGTATAAATGTACCACAGCCTTTTTATCTACTCATCTATTGATGGGCACTTGGGCTGTTTCCAGATCTAAGCTATTGTAAATTGTGCTGCTGTGAACATAAGGGTGCATACATTCTTTCTGGTTGATGTTTCAGGTCTTTTAGGATATATTCCTAGAAGTGGGATCATTGAGTCAGGTGGCAGTTTCATATTTAAATTTTTTGAGGAAACTACATACTGTTTTCCATAGTGGCTGCACCAGTCTGCATTCCCACCAGCAGTGTACTAGGGTTCCCTTTTCTCCACATTCTTACCAGCACTTGTCATTTGTGGATTTGTGGATGGTAGCCATTCTGATAGGTGTGATGTGACACCTCATTGTCATTTTAATTTGCATCTCTCTGATGATCAGTGACTTTGAGCATTTTTTCATATGTCTCTTGGCCCTCTGTATGCCCACTTTGGAGAATTGTCGATTTAGGTCATTTGCCCATTTTTTAATTGAATTGTTTGTCTTCCTTTTGTTAAGTTGTATGAGTTCCTTATATGTTTTGGATATTAACCTTTTATCAGATGTGTCATTGCCAAATATGTTCTCCCATACAGTGGGTTCTCTTTTCATTTTGTTGATGGTTTCTTTTTTTGTGCAGAAGCTTTTTATTTTGATGTAGTGCCATTTGTTTATTTTCTCCTTAGTTTCCTTTGCCCTAGGATAGTGGTCGGCAAACTGCGGCTCGGCAAACTGTGGCTCGGGAGCTGCATGTGGCTCTTTGGCCCCTTGAGTGTGGCTCTTCCACAAAATACCGGCTCTTCCACAAAATACCAACTTCTGCGCATGGGCCACGAAGTTTCAGTCGCACTGTATGTGTGCACCCGCACGTGGTATTTTGTGGAAGAGCCACACCCAAGGGGCCAAAGAGCCACATATGGCCCGCGAGCCGTGGTTTGACAACCACGGCCATAGGAGATGTATCCATAAACATATTGCTATGAGAGATGTCTGGGATTTTGCTGCCTATAGTTTCTTCTAGAATTTTTATGGCTTCATGACTTAATTTAAGTCTTTTATCAATTTTGAGTTTATTCTTGTGTATGGTGTAAGTTAGTGGTTTAGTTTCATTTTTTTTTTCTTTGCAATAATGGTTTTAATCTACTATTGATGATAAGTTTAAAAACACTTTTAATGATACTTTTTAAAATAATAAATTCACATGTATCCTTTTGGGTACAATTAGACGATAGTCTAAGTAAATATAGAACATTCAACATAAAACCAGCAAATGACAGATTTTAGAAACAGTAGCCCTTCCATGAAACAAATAACGTAGAGTGACAAATCTTTTTCAACAGGTACAGTTAAACCTCGGTTCTCGAACATCTCCCATCTTGAACATTTCGTGTGGTTTTTTTTTTTGTTGTTGTTGTTGTTTTGTTTTTGTTTTTTTTTTCTTTTATTATTAGTTAAGGTATTACAAATGTGTCCTCATCCCCCCCATTAACCCCCAACCTCCCCCCCACACACACATTCATACTCCCATCCCCCTGTTGTCCAATGTCCATTGGTTTGGCTTATATACATGTATACAAGTCCTTCGGTTGATCTCTTCCCCTTACCCCCGCCCTCCCCTACTTTCCTTCTGGGGATTGATAGCCTGGTCGCTGTTTCTCAGTCTTTGGGTCTGTCCCTTTTCATCAGTCTATGTTGTTCTCTATTTTTTTTGCATGTATCTGTCCAATTTTCCCAATACCATTTATTGGCTCCACTGAATGCACTTGCCTCCTTTGTCATATATGAATTGAGTGTAATGGTTTGGGTCGATTTCTGGGGTATCTGTCCTGTTCCATTGATCTATATGCCTGTCCTTGTGCCAGTACTAGGCTGTTTTGATTACAGTGGCTTTGTAGTGTAACTTGAAATCTGGTATTGTGCCTTTTATTTCTTCTTCTTGTCTGATTGCTGTGGCTAGGACTTCCAGTACTATGTTGAATAAGAGTGGTGACAGCAGACATCCCTGTCTTGTTTCTGTTCTTAAGATTTGTCATATATGGCCTTTATCATGTTGAGATATGCTCCCTCTATTCCCACTTTGCTAAAAGTTTTTATCAAAAAAGGGTGTTGGATTTTGTCGAATGCTTTTTCTGCGCCTATTGATATAATCATGTGATTTTTGTCTTTCAGTTTGTTTATGTGATGTATCATGTTTAATGATTTGCGAATATTGTACCAGCCTTGCATCCCTGGAATAAATCCCACTTGGTCATGGTGTATGATCTTTTTTAATATATTGCTGGATCCGATTTGCTAATATTTTGTTGAGGGTTTTAACATCTATATTCATCAGGGATATTGGTCTGTAACTTTCTTTCTTTCTAGTGTCTTTATCTGGTTTTGGAATTAGGATAATACTGGCCTCATAAAAAGAGCTTGGAACTGTTCCTTCCTCTTGGATTTTTCAGAATAGTTGGAGAAATAAAGGTGTTAGTTCTTTGAATGTTTAGTAAAACTCCCCCATGAAGCTGTCTGGACCTGAGCTTTTGTTTGCTAGGAGGTTTTTTTTTTTTTTTATTACTGCTTTTATTTCATCAGTTGTTATTGGCATATTCAGATTTTCTGATTCTTCCTGATTCAGTTTTGGGAGATTGTATTTTTCCAGAAATTTGTCCATTTCATCCACAATGTCCACTTTCGTTTCTGATTTTATTTATTTGGGTCCTCTCTCTTTGTTTCTTGATCAGTGTGTTTAACAGTTCATCAATCTTGTTTATCCTTTCAAAGAACCAGCTCATTTTTTGTATTTTTTTTTTTTAGTCTCTATGTCATTTATTTCTGCTCTAATCTTTATTAGTTCCTTCCTTCTACTTACCCTGGGCTTTTCTTGTTGTTCTCTTTCTAGTTCTTTAAGTTGTAGGGTTAAATAGTTTATTGTTAATTTTTCTTGTTTTTTTTTTTTTGTGGTATGCCTGTAGTGCTATGAACTTCCCTCTCAGGACTGCTTTTGCTATGCCCCAGAGATTTTGGGTTGTTGTTTGTTCATTTACATTTTTTTCCAGGAAGTTTTTGTTTTCTTTTTTTATCTCATTGGTAACCCATTCATTGTTTAGTAACATGCTATTTAAGCCCATGTGTTGGAATTTTTGGGGTGTTTCTACTGTAGTTGATTTCTAATTTCTTTTCACTATGATCTGAGAAGGTACTTGATATGACTTCAATCTTCTTGAACTTTAAATATTTGTTTTGTGTTCTAACATGTGGTCTTGCTTTGTGAATGATCCATGTGCACTTGAGAAGAATGTATATTCTGCAGCTTTGGGGTGAAATGTTCTATAAATGTCAATTAAATCCATCTGATCCAGTGTGTCCTTTAGAGTCACTGTTTCCTTGTTAATTGTTTGTCTGGAAGGTCTATCCAGTGAGGTCAGTGGGGTGTTAAAGTCCCCTACTATGACTGTATTGTTGTCAATCGCTCCATTAAAGTGCTCTAGAAGTTTTTTTTATACATTTAGGTCCTCCTATATTGGGTGCATATATGTTTACCAGGGTTATATCCTCTTGTTGGATTGATCCCTTTAGTAGTATGTAGTGACCTTTGTTGT